ACGTCTACACTACAATTAAACAGCCCCTTAGCCTGAGCTTTGCAAGCCTGAGTCAGGTGGCACAGGCCAGCGGCAGGTTTTTAATTGCAGTGTAGACATACTCTAAGAACCCAAGTCAACATTTGTCTTCTATACTATACCAAAAATAAGGAAGAAGTGAATCTGGCGCAGAGAGTTTCTACACCCTAGGGTCCAACACAGAAAAGGTCCTGTCACCTGTCAAATTTAAGTTGCAATGATGGGGTCACTAAAAGGTAGATGGTGCATGAGGACAGATGCTTATCAGGATGAGGCTCAAGGGTGAAGTCTCAAATATAGCCAGGGACTACAGACTACATCCTTAAGAGCTTTATAAACCAACAGTAGCAATGTGAAGCCAATCCATCACTTGAAAGGAGGCCAGCAGAGAGAATGCGTGGTGTGCGAATACGATCACGAGTTCAAACCAGTGGACAAATGTGTTGCTGCATTCTGAACAAGTAGGCAATGGAGATGCTTTGCGTCAGGGAGCCCTATTTAGAGGGAATAACAGGAATCAATCTTCATGGTCACAAGGACATGTGTTGTTGTTGCAAGGTTATGATGTGATAAATAAAGGGTACAGCCTGTACAAATTGTACACTGAGGGAAATCTGTTAGTACACTGTCACCCAGTAGCTTCCCACAGCTGACAGGGACATGAATGGTCCTTGCTGCAAACAAGTCCCCTCAGTATGTATAAGGAAGAAAGAGAGAGTAACTTCATAATAATGAGAGTTTTTCTGTGGCTAAGTGATGCAAAATAATAAATGAAGAACACAGTAGTGTATAAAACATGTGCCCCATTGTCATCATAAATATGTAGATACGGTAGATAAATATTTTGAAAGTAAATGTATTCCACCTGGCCTAAGCAAATACAGAACAGTGCTCCTATTGGAGTCCGTAGAAGTTTTGCCATTGATTTCAATGGGAGCAGGCCCACAGGTCTAGAAATGAGTCTCTTGTGTTATTGCTGAGATGAAGCGATGCACATTCTCAGCTTTCTATTAAAAAATCAAAGAGAAATTCTGCAGTGAAAGGGACAAGTGATAAGAGACAAATGGAAAATAGAGTTAAAGCTTGTCACTTATTCCCTAGCCTTCTTTCCATTGGGTGGACATTATGTTTCTGAATGGTTTCTTGTAGCTCAGTTTGATAAAATTGGCCTGTCTGGGCCAATGTTATTTGGGGAGAAAATGCCAAGGGTTTGCTTTTGCTTGTGGCATCTTAAAAGCAATTCCAAAGGTGGAAAGTTCAGACAGCCTTTCTGGGAATGGAGACAGAAAATATCTCAGTGTGAGTATTCTAAAAAGAGTTATTTAAGCCCATGTTATTTTTAAATATTTTTCCATGTGATGTGAATAGATGCATTTTCCTTTTCTTTCTATTTAAATTAACTTTGAATTTAATGTTACTCCCCAAATACTCTATAGTCAGAATGTAGAAATTTACACAACAAATGGATCTGTCAGCATCCCCATACAATTATTCTCTCAATCTGAATGGGCCCCAAACTGAAACACTGGCTCAGCACTCTCTCAAACCTTTGGAGCAGTTTGGATCTGGACTTTGTGGCTCAGGTCCATCTAAGAATGAGCTGTTCTGTCTCCCAAAAGCAAATACTGGGACTGATTCTCCACTGTGTTCATGGAAACCCATGCAAAGTAGTCACAATGAAATGCTACTACTGTGACTCCTTAGCATTTTACATCCGCTTTCCAGAAGGGTAAATAACAATAATATTTAGCAGTTTAGAGAACTCTGTACGCTCAAAGCATTGTACAGACCTTAATTCATCGTCTGTGAGGTAAGTGAAGTTATCCCCATTTTACAGATGGGGAAACTAAAGGCAAGAAAGGTGAAGTGATCACAGAGTGAGTCAGGGGGAAAAGGTGGGATTAGAACTCAAGACCAACACTGAACTCATTGTTCTGGATGACCCTGCCCTTGCTTCTGTAAAAATGCATATAATAGTGCAGTGGTTCTCAAAGCTGGTCCGCCACTTGTTCAGGGAAAGCCCCTGCCAGGCCAAACCGGTTTGTTTACCTGCCGCGTCCACAGGTTCGTCCGATCGCGGCTCCCACTGGCCTCGGTTCGCTGCTCCAGGCCAATGGGGGCTGCGGGAAGGGTGGCCAGCACGTCCCTTGGCCCGCGCTGCTTCCTGCAGCCCCCATTGGCCTGGAGCGGCGAACCGCGGCCTGTGGGAGCTGCGATCGGCCGAACCTGCGGACGCGGGAGGTAAACAAACCAGTCCAGCCCCGGCAGGGGCTTTCCCTGAACAAGCGGTGGACTGGCTTTGAGAACCACTGTAATAGTGCATAGTAAATTTGGTTCACATGCCCTAAAATTGGTCCATGGGGAAGAAAGGAAACATCTTTCTTACTGTGACACTCCCCAGGATTGTGAGACACCTCGTCACCACCTGCCCTAAGTGTGAAGAAAGTCTGGTCTATGCATGAGTTCCCTTAAACCACCAGCCTCAGGCAACACAAGCACCGCCTTCCAAGCCTCACTCTCTCTACAGGGGAGCATTAGGCCCAACTCCTCCCTATGTTCCCTTTAGCGTCCAGCCCTGTACCCACTGAACTGGCACAGAATTACCAGGCCTGGGGCTCCCTGAAAGGAACAATACATCGCAATTTATTTCTTATCCCTTGGAACAAAGCTCTATTAAACGCACAGCTCTTATATATATTTATAGTGCAAACAAGAATAAACTGATTATCAAAGATCAGGGGTTCAAATGACAGTGAGTATGAAGAGTGGAAGCAAATGATAATGTATAAAGAAGATCACGCTTTCTAGAGATTAAACTTTAACTAACAAGTCCAGCTCGCTGTCTAAAGAAGCTTATCTCACCCAAAGTTTTCACCAGCATTTTCAACGAAGTCTGGATGAGACCCCCTTTTTCATGAAGCAAACTCACTCCGCTTACTTCCTAGCTGAAGGATGCCAGAGTGTCTTCTATGTCCACCAAATATGCGTGAGCAGACCTCTGATGTGCACGCCTTCTCCCCCCGGGTCCCTCCACTGTTTACTTCTTCCTGTGACCTTCCTCTCTTTGATGTTTTCACAAAATCCTTCATTAGCTTTCAGTTCAGACTGGTGAGAGGAGACCCATTGTGAACTGTACAATACCTAATTGACATGTAAACAGCGGGATAGATTAACATTTCTTGTCTGAAAGAAAACCCGTTTTTTACCTTTGCTGGTGACCAGTCCCTAGACACAGACTTTCAGAATGTAATTTTCAGTGTATATACACAGCTCCCTACATAACATCCTTACATGTGTTTTGCAATGGCAGTTATGACCCATGTGACACTGGCTTTTATTTGAGACCTCACATGACACTCTTTGGTGAACTAGGTTGTACATGCCAGACCCTTATGCACCCCCTCTGGTGCCCATTATCAGTTGGCACCAATAGATTCCTGGCTCACACTTACCTTTTGGCCGTGTAAGTGCTATTTAACTCAAAAAACATTATTGTAATTGCTTCCTATATGGATCAACATAGCAGGTGCCAGAGACAACCCCAGCAAAATACGAGAGGATGTTTTCTCACATTGTGCTAGATTCTTGCCCCCCACCCTGCCTGCTTTGTACTGCCTCAGTAGTGAAAAGCTCCCCTGAAGGGGCAGTTGAGGCTTCTCCTATCAGCGATGGAGTGGGGAGGGTTTCAGGTGCAGGGAGGCGGTTTTCCCAGTAGCAGGCTGGAGTGCACAGCATCCCCCATGACCCTCAGCCAGTCCAGTGGTCCATGTGGTATCAGTTCAGCCAGTGTAATTTAAAGAGCCCCTAGGCTGCTTTAAATCATGCTGGGAGCTGTTTCTGCTGTGTTATCCTCAGTTGCACCATAGAATCATAGAATATCAGGGTTGGAAGGGACCTCAGGAGGTCATCTAGTCCAACCCCCAAAGAGCTGGCACATTATTACTTCACAGCATGAAGAGATGGGCAAACTTACAGGCCATTTTTCAGGAAACAGTGCCCTGAAATTCTAGTGGGTCTCCCCCAAGATCTCTTTCTCATGCAATAATTCATCCTGTTAGAGAAAACATACTATGTATTCCCTTCTGCAAACTCTGAAGGCAAAGTTAACTCCCATCGCTGCTCATGAGAACTCTGCCGCCAGTTGCACATCAGAGGGAGAATAAAGCCTAGAAATCAGGGCGATGATCATAATACCCCATTGTGATGAGTGAAAAAGAACTGCTTGTCAGAAAGGTATAAAAGAAACCTTTAATTCCAGTCAGGATAATCTGTGCTTCAGGTGCGCGGTGGTAGATAGCACAGCACTACCCAGCTTTTGTACTGAGGCGCAGGGAGGCTTTCAGGAAGATAAATGCTGTTCTGTAGCCCAAGAGAGGGGCAGCGCTTACCCCTATTGGTCAAACGTTGAAGCTGATCTAATGGCCATTAGAAAGAAAACGTGATGCTGCTCAAATGTGCTGTATGAAGAAATCAGGCAGGAAGGACACTGCCTTTTCGGTGCTCGGTCCCTGTGCAGCTCAAGACACTCATATCAGCATCCTGGCAGGGGGTCTTCCTCTTTATACCCTAGACTGGACTCTGGTCTCAGTGAGTGCCGCCTAAAGCCAGAACCTGCTTTTTAAAAAAGGTAGCAAAGCAATTCAGTGTTCTGCTCTTGCTAGGTCCAGGAAGTAACCGTTACCTAGGAGTTATCTTCAGAGCCTCGTAAAGGAATGGATGTTACACTGGCCGGATCCATGAACGGGAGTTTGTACCAGTGTCACTCCACTTCCCCACCATTCGTGAATGGCCAAGAGTCAGAAGAACAGGAATTTGGCTGTTCCTCCTAATATAGCAGTTTGTTTGCATAGCTCTCTGGCATTCTAAAAATGGAATCAGTGCTCTGCTTAGGTAGCTCTGAAAAAGCAGAGTCATCTGTCTGTGAAATTTTGGTTTCTTGTGTCTTGGCGTTAACTGTTATTATTTCTGTCCCTTCCTTTTAGAAAACCCCTACTGCTCATGCCATGAAGGAGGAGAATTTTCTTCGTCGCAGGTTCTCTCTCTGTCCTGCGTCTTCCACCCCTCAGAAAATTGATCCTCGCAAGCTGACACGGAATCTGTTCTTCGGAGCTGATAATGAGATCTACCCACTCAGCCCAGGTCAGTGCGTGCTACATGGCTTTAGAATGTGCCACATGCTACTCTCAGCCTATCTTCAATCATCTCAAATCTCAGTGCAATGCGTATGCACAAACAAACAGTACCCCACTTACTGAACTAATCCTCTGGGTGGGTGAGTGTAAGTGGGTTTTGTTAGAGCATCTGCAAGAAACAAAGAGAAACAGCTTTATATGGACGCATGAGCAGGAGATCAAACTCGTTCAGCAAAGGAGGCCCCCAATTCTATGAAGTATTGAGCGGCTCCTGCCAAATGCTACAAGCCTTCCGCTCCCATTGATTTAAGTGGGAATGAAGGACATTCACGCCTCAGAGATGAGGCTCAGAACTTGTTGAACACTGAATGGCCTAAAATTTAAGAAGTGATTTTGGGTATTTCTGTTTTGGGGTGCCCAATTTGAGGAACCTAAAAAGGATCACCCTAAAAAGCAGATCCTTTTAAGGCATCACATGGGTACCCAAAAATTGAGGAACCCAATATTTCCAGCCCCTTTTGCAAATTGTGATTACTACTTTTAAGTCACTTGACCCTACAGTGCACAATAAATGTTACAAATGCAAATTCTCTTTCACCAATGTTCAAAAATATCTTCAGCATTTTTCCTGGCAATATGCTCAGTTGCAGTAAGTGTAACACCAGCTTCAAGAGTTCACAATACTTCCTTCAGGTTTAGTCTAAAATTGCTAGCAAACATCTGTTCTACAGGAAATGAAAGTCATGATTTTTTTTGGTATTTGCTGTGTGTAATAAATACTCAATCAAAATGTTTCTCTGATTGCAGTCTGCAAACAGTGCTTCAGATTCCAGTTTGTAAACATGTGCTTTAACCTTAGATGAGAGAGCAATCATATTTTTGCAAAGTCATAATTTGTGGTTGTCATTTCTGTATTTAATAATCAAGTCTAGTGGTACCTCAGTGAGTTGTCAGCACATTGATATTTCAGGAGAAAAGGATACAGCACCTGCAAAAAGCAAGGTGATATTTCGTATTTATATAGCACCCAAAAAGGTACTTGGGGCTAGATCCACAAAGGGATCTATCTAACTGCCTCTTTCAGCACCTAAGTCCAACATTTAGGCACCAATGCCATTCACAAAACCACTGCTCAGGTACCACCTCCCCCAGTAGGTGCCTAAACTGCATAGACATCGATGTTTCTGCCAGTGGGCATATGCAAAGCTGCCTAAATCCTGATGCCGCCAAGCTGTTTGGTTCCTGTCACATCTAAGCCCTGGTGGGATTCTCAAAGTAAGCATTTTCTTGCCTGTCTTGCTGGCATGCCTACCTTACACAAAAGACATCAGGGATGAGCCTATGTGTAAGTGCCTAGTATATGCATGTGAGATATAGGAGATACCCAAGTTTGAATCCCTGATGTGGAGCAGGGACTCAAACCTGATTCTCCCACATCACTGGTGAATGCCCTAACCACTGGGATATACAGTCAATCTTGTCCTACTTTTTTCTTTGGCCTAATGAATATTTAATTATTCATACTGAATGGAACAGTTTCAACAGGAGAGATTGAGACCCACCCCAGAACAGCGTGTAGCTCGGGCGCTCTCCTGGGATGAGCAGACCTAAGTTCAAGATCTTGCTCCAAATCAGAAAGAGCAGAGATTTGAAAACAGGCTGTCTATGTCCCAGGTAAGTGCCCTAGCCATAGGGCTATAATGGCATGGGAAAGGTGTGTGTGGGGGGGTGCCTCTTTCTCTTGCATAGGTTACCTAAAGTGGCTGACATGTAACTCCAGGAGAGGGCTTATGGCTGAGAATCCCAAGTAGAGGGAGGGCCCTTCCTCTGTGGCATTGTTTACTGGCTAGCTTAGGCAGCTCCATGCTCAGCTTGCTGGCTTCTTGTTCCCTTTCTTAGGCACCTAATTCTCTCCAGGGAGAGCCTGAGCACCTAACTCTGGGCTGTGAATTCTACTGGGCAGCAGGCACCTAAGAGACCCCTTTGTAAATCTGGCCCTCAGAGCTTCACAAGCAGAGAACAAGGTCAGATCTGGAACCAAAGAGTTAACAAGGGAGGGTCAATCGTAGGCCTGGCCGAAATGCTGAATTTTCGCTTTGGGGCAAATTTCAACATTTTGAACAACAAAATTAATTACAATTCAGAACAAAAATAACTATTATCAAAAGTCCCTTAAATTGGAATTTCCTGAACAAAAAAATCAGTTTTGGAAAATGTGTTCAGGATTTTGGAATGTTGTTTCAGAGTTTCAAAATTTCATTTCAGATTTTATTTCATTAGTTTTATTCTCTTACTTTTGTATTTTTACATTATTTCATGATCTGTCAGTAGTGCTAGGTTAGGGTTAAGAGTATACGTTAAAAGAAATTCTTTTTGCGAATACAGACTAGCACGGCTGCTACTCTGAAACCTGTCAGTATACGTTAACACTATGTAGGGTTGTTAGTAGTACCATTGACGTGTCATATTATGCTATAGTGTTCTACTGTAAAATTCATTAAGGGCAGCTGCGACTTTGTGCCAATTGAAACATGTTATCTTCTGTAGGTCGAAACGTCTCCTGTTTGTGTTGTAATGAAACAGTTTAACTAGCAGCTGCCCTTAATGAGTTTAAAAATAAAACAAAAATAACAGGATATTTTAACTATCATGTCAGCCTGACATGCCAGTTGTACTAGTGCATATTATACAGTACTGCAACTCACATGTCATGAAACAACATAAAAATATAAACATGAGGAAAATTTCAAAAGAAATTTTGAAATCCAAAACGAAAGTCCAAAATCCCAGTAATTTTCTAAAACATTTTTTTTCCATTTCGAATTTTCTTCTTTGAAAAATATTTAGATTTTGATTAAACTAGCATTTTCCATTAAAAAATGCAGCGCCAGTCCATAATTTAAATAGATCTTTGATTTAGGTGTCCAGCTTGAGACAGGTTGGGCCCTGATTTTGAGCAGTGTTGACCAGTTGAAAATTAGTCCACAAACATCTCCACCTGAACATTTAAATGCTGAGACACCTAATATGTTTGCCCACTTTCAAAAGTTTGATGGCAGATAACTACAACTCCATATAGAGATGTGGCAGAAGCAAAAAGCCTTGGCAATAGACTACTTTGTCGTTGCTGAGCCAACCCAGGAGCTGGGCCAGCTTTTAGAGTTTGGGAAGCCTATTTGTCAACTTTAGGAAACTTACATTTTGAAGAGCACAGGCAAAGAGTTTTCCTGCTGTCATCAGCTTCCTCTGCTGCTGGGTAAATGGAGATCAGCTGCTTGTCATGGGGTCCATGCAGAATAATTACCAACAGTCTCAAAAATTCAATTAGCTCATCTGTGAGGTGCTGAGTGCTCTTTAACACCCACATAAACCAAAGGGAGCTGAGGGTTTGCAGTAGATGCTCAGCACGTCATGGGTGAAGTCCTCTCTTATCACAGGCTTTGACTCTTTGTCAGCCTTCTACATTGTTTCTCCTTCCTTCTTGTAGAGGGAGCAGTCTAACTGGCCTGGCCTAAACCCACCGGGTGTATGTGTGTAACAAGTGCAGTGTGCTGGATTAGAGCTTTTGTTGCCTTTCTCTGCTTAGCTAGAGGATCCTGCAACATTGGTACAAGTGATGAAAACAGCCACCCATCTTTCATCCCCTCTGTTCTCAACTTAGGAGAGTGTAGGCCAGAGATACAGTTTAAAAAAGCACAAATTAATACACTGTTCTAACTAAGAGTTCTGGGTGTGTGTCCAGGGATGGAGGAGACTTACTTTTGTCCTCCTTCCTTGGATTTTTATTCCATTTATTTTTCCTTCCAGTTCATTCTATCTCCATAACACTTATTAAGTTTGCCTTTTATTTCTTTGCAAGAGCAGACTCTCCTCCTCCATCTTCTATATTTGCTTTTTCCCCACTCCCAATTCTCTCTTCCCCAGCTCTCTCCCCCCTAGAGTGTTGTAGCTTCCTCTTTACTCCATTTCTTCTGCTCCCTTTTTTCCTCTGTATCTCATTCTGTCTCCTTTCCGAGAGGCAATAGGGTGTCTCTCCTCACTGGGAATTACCTTTCCAGTTCCCCTCCTCCCCTGGGCTCTGGTAGATGCTGCTACTCCTGTGAAGAAGTCTGGGTTTCCCTTCTCTCTGTCCCCTGTGAAACTCTAGTTGTGTAGGCTTTTCCACTGATCACTTCCTCCCCGCTCCCAAGTTTGTGTCCAGATGCTGTATTCTCAGCTCAGAGAAGGAACTAAAGTAAGTTGTAGGCAGCCCCGTTACCGGCTGGGAAGGAGCTTGCAGTGGCCTAGCACCATCAGCAGAAGTTCAGCTATTTCTCACACAGAGTCAAGTCAGTCATAGTTGCTCTCTACCACAGCTGGGACAACAGGTTTCACAAGCCCAAAAACTAGCCCTGGGTGGCTTTAGGACATGTAAATAAATATAGTAAAAAGTTAGTGACAGAGTTTATACCCCAGTCAAACTACATTAGAAAGGTTCTCTGAAGTGAGGAAACTAGTACTGTTGTTTTTTTTTTTAAAGGGGGAGATCAACTGAAATAGCTCTTCTGGCTCTTTGCTTACTGTTACATATAACCCTTCTGATTGTTGTAGCTGAAAGAATTTAGAGAAAGATATATTTCTCTGTTTACAGAAGGTACACAAACTGAAGAATCAGTTTCATTATTTTCCCTTGTTTATGTTTTTTTTCCCCCACATAGCAATAAGGAAGAGAAACCATTTTTAGAAGAAAGTAGGATGTGGTTGGAAGACCACAGAATTTGGAAGGGGGAGTAGCACTATTAACCATTTATTTTTAATTGGCTACACTTCAGGTGGATGTTCTCTCTTTAAATCAGAGCTGGCACATACAGGTCTCCGCTGTGTTGGAGATCCACATCTCAGATGCTATGGGCACCTGCCTAAGAGCACGTACCTGCAGGTGTAAAGGGCCAAAGGTTCATATAAGTATAGTCCCCTGGTATTTCCAGCATTCTGGGTAACACTTTCCTCCAGAAAACACAGACTCTA